CATTTATGTGCGTAAAGACGCCTCGTGGAAGGAGCCCTAGCCTCAGCGATAGTGTTCAACTCGCTGGGGAAGTGCATCTGTTACAGGCAAGCTCCGTTGAGCGGCCAGACATGAAGGCTCCATGACTCTGGATTTGGATGCTATATCGTTAACTGTGCTTGAGAGAGGAGGTCTCTCTTCAGTGAGTCTTCCACGGTGGGGCTACCAGCATCTCCACCAGTTCTGGGAACCACGGCTGATTGGGTCATTTCGGTGCCACTAACAGAACAGATTCCTTTCCTCTCTGATTTTGCAAAGCACGCGAGGCAGAAGTTTCACTGGAGGAAAGGCATACTTGCGTACTTTCGGCCAGCTGTGAGCTAGTGCATCCACTCCCAGGGGAGACCGTGTCAGTGAATAAAACAGCGGGCAGTGAGTGTTCTCCGATGATGCGAAGACATCCACCTACGCCCTGCCGAATACACTCCAAATCATATTGACTGTCAAAGGGTGTAATCTCCACTCTCCGTGGATTACCCCGCCCCTCGACAGTAAATCCGCGCCGTAATTCCGGCGTCCGGGGACATGTACTGCCAATGGATGGAGAGGAGGTGTCGATCTGCCCACAGAAGAAGATCTCTCGCCAGCCGAGTCGCATACGGCTCCCCAACCCGTGCTCGATGCATCTGTCGTAACAGTTTTTCTCCTGGTCACTTGGCCAATAGGAACACCCTGGTGATACAGTGTCATATCGTGCCAAGGGGCCAGCGCTGTCAAGCAGTCGCGCGTTACTTGTACGCACAAGGTGCCCGCGCGCCATGCGCTCTGTGGCACGCGACTTTTCAGCCAGAGCTGAAGCGGTCGCATATGCAGGAGTCCTAATTTGCACACTGTTGAGGCGGCAGCCATCTGGCCGAGCGCCCTCTGAAAGCATTTCAGCGGGGGAGAGTTCCCTAACCTGAAGACTGCGAGAGAGCTGATCAGTTTTTGTGTGCGCTCTTCCGAAAGACGCGCTCGCATATTGATTGAATTCAGCTCTACTCCTAAAAAGGAGATGTTCTGGCTCGGTACCAGCATGCTCTTTTGCATATTCACAGTCAGCCCTAAGCTCTGAACATGAGCGAGAAGTCTGAGCTTATCGCTGAGCAGGGCGCTCTCTGATTGGGCTAAGACTAGCCAATCTGAGACTTGAGAAGTTTGGCCTGATACACCTGGAGTATCGCCATGACGTGCAGTGCTGAAGCTACCTGTCCTGCCCCGGAGAAAGCCTTGCCGGCAAAGTTTGCAGTGGCACGGCACTGGAGGTACCACTCGTCCAGACGGCTTCTGGCCGGCTCGGCAGGAGGCGCCCACTCCAAACCGAGCTCATCAACCGCCTTGGTCAGGACGCTTAGGAGCTCCACATCACTATGATGGAGGTCCCCCGCGTCGCTGCCGTGGGGCGCGGTGTAATCCAGCGGGCTGTTGGACCACTCCTCCCTCGCAGACGCTGCCACCGAAATGGCATCATCTTCATCCTCAGCGTCCTCCATGGCACTGAAAGACATCATATCTCTCGCGCCGAGGGAGGGACAGAGATCAGCGGTCATGAAGCGCACTGGAAGGGGACCTGCACCAGGGGGGTGAGGAGCGCGTGGGCACTGAGCCGGCGCGAGCTCGTCACCTGACCCGGACAGATCCACATCGGAAGCTCGCGTCACTTTACTCCTTGGCTCAAATGAGGCTGCAGAGGAAGAGCGCGGCATAGCTATTTGGGCGAGTTCATCGCCTTGGACGATGGCAACACGGAGTCTGAGAGTCCAAAGGCTCATATCTCCGCAGTGGGGGCAATCCGACCCCCCAAGCGCCACCTCTGCGTGGGCGCGACCCAGGCAAAAGACGCACGATTCGTGGCCATCGGAGAGTTCGATTGGCTCTGGGCAGGAGAGGCAATGGCCAGAGGTCATCCTTGTCTGAAGCTCACCGGAACACAGCAGGGGAAGAGAAGGTTGTTCGCTGCAGCGTGTAGATCACGGTGAGTA